ACTCTTGGTTCGCTGGTGCAACAAAAGATGGCAGGATTTGCTTAGAATATATTTTATTAATCAAACAAAACAAAATAATGATTGAAGTGAGGGTTCTTAATATGTTCTTTAATAATACTACAATGTTTAAAAAATTGGAATAATTATTTCTTTTTTTACATAATAATTTTTCTTTACATAATAATTTTCTTGAAAAAATAATTTTCTTTACATTATAATTTTCTATCATCCTCTAAACACAGGATCCCAGACATATTCACATTGTTCAGCCTTTCCAGGAGCCATGTGTTCAGATGATGATTTTCTATCAAAATATATATTTTTAATCTATTCCATCAATTTGATACAAAAATAGTTGATAACTTTTTCATTATTTTTCTTTATAAGTGCAAATACATGTATGTTAGATTGGGCCAAAGTAGTCACTAACATCTTAAAAATGAAGAACTGCTCATATCAAAACAAGTACAGAATATTACAGCTATATCATTGTCAAGAGCCAATGGAACTGTAAAAACGCCAAATTCATGGACATCTTCAATTTGCCATTATTGTGAAATTGCAAATTTAGGATGCCACGAATTCAAAATTGACTCTTGGCATGAATTGAAAAAATCCAAAAATCATGAGTATATAAAAAGAAGCAATTTACATGCACACATTAAAATTGTTCCTTCAAATTCAATGTGTTTTACAGTATTAGTGTACAGGGGTTTCAAAAATTTCTCACAACAGCTAAATAAATGCAAACAACAGGCAAATTAATGGAAATCATTAATTTAACATGGAATAGTTGAAAAGTCCCTAAAATCAACAGGCGATTTTGTGAAAATAACTGGTGAAAATCACCTTTTGCCTGCTGCTAATGAAACCCCTGTTATATATCTTATATTTCTTGTGGCCTTTGTCTTTTATCACTTGTCGAGTTAACTACAGTACATATAGATAACATATTATACATATTAAAGTTTTACTCATTTTCCACACCTTGATTTATATATTGTATTTTTTAAGAAATTGCCTTGTGAAAAGGTGCATTTTAAAAACTGGTGGAAAAATGGTTTCAGCATTTTGGACTGAAAATTATGTCTTGTTAAGATATCCTTTTTGGGTTAAGTTATACAACCCTGTCCTTTATGCATAAGAATACGCATCTAGCATCTTGGGCCAGTGTTCATAATCATTGAAGCATCATCTTTAGTACAATATAAATTTCTATAACATGCAATGAAGAACACTATCTCCTTCACTGTACGAAATATAATAAACAAAGAAGTATAATGTTGTCTAAAATGAAAATGCCAGTACAAGAAAATCCATTTATTTATTTGATATCTGGTAAAGATCAAAATTGCATAAATGTAGCAAAATATATATTTCCATCGAGTACCAATAGCTATATCTCTAGTGCACCAATGCATCATCATCATTAATAGTAATACTAATAGTTATGTAGTTTTTTTTACATGTAAATGTCTTCTTTTTCCTTCCTTTATAATTGTTATAATGTTTGTGTGTACATGTACTTGAAGAATAAATAAATTATTATTGTCACTTCTCTTATCTTTTAAAATTATGTACAGTAAAACCTGTCTAAGTAGAACACCTCATAGAGGTTAATTTAACATCAGTTAGTCTTGAAATTCTGAAATTTGTCTCTTTATCAGTTGTTTATCAGGTGTTCCACATTACAGGTTTCTGTGTACTGCTGCACAGATCTATTTTGAATCAATTTCTCATTTGCAACACCCTTTAGTATATCTGCTTAAATCTAACTAAAAGTACAAGTTTGCAATGGCACAAGATACAAGTTTAATACATAATATGTGACTATAATGAGAGGATATCTCCACTACTGAAGCACTTATATAAGTTCACACAACTTATGCCTCAGTCACATTTGATTTACGGCAATCGTATGGTGGCCATGGCTTCCCAAAATGGATTGAAATATGCAGCATAAAATATTAGGATAAGCAGTGTTATCCTATGCCAAGTAGAGTTTTAGGGAGATGAGTTGGTAAGATATATCTCGTATCCTGATTTTGAGGTTTCCATATCCTGAACCTCCATATCTCCCGCCATATCTCCCGCTCCAGGGCATATCTTCCCGCTTCGAAAAAAATGTGAAAAAATTTGAAAAAATTTAAAAAAAGAAAAAATTTGAAAAAAATTTGAAAAAAATAAAAAATTGAAAAAAAGAAAAAAAATAGAAAAAATGTGAAAAAATTGAGAAAAATGTAAAAAAATTGATAAAATAAAAAAATTGAAACAAAATTGAAAGAAAATTAGAAAACTCTACTTGGTATAGGATAAAGCAGTTATGTACGGTCGGTTTTGATATTGGGTTCATCCCTCGTGAGATATGCACGTCTACCTTCGGTCCCTACGGTCCCTCAGGTAGATATGCATATCTCCCTCTGGATAAACCCCATATCCAAAGCCTCCCAGTACATAACCCTTATTGATGTAGAATGTCTATATCACTTTTGAGAACCTGTTTTAGAGCAAATGTGAGTGAGGCTTTAAACCACTGAAAGTGGATAACTCCCTATAAAGAGGTTACTGGAATTCAATATATGCAGGGGACTAATCACTCATTCATGATATATCATGCAGAAATGGCTTAAAGGAATATTCCTTGCCAGACCCTTTCTCTCTTGATATGGTAGCTATAATCATATATATAGTTTCCATATTTAGCAAAACATGGGAAAATGTTTTAATATGGTCAATATTGATCATTTAAAAATCTAGTGCTTATTTCCAGTGAGCTGCCATCTTTTAAGATTTCTTGCAGGAAGTGATGTCATCAACTCTCAACTTCTATAACCTTGCCCATAACAGTATAGGAAAGTAGCACGAAATCACTTCTAGACAAGTGATCATTACTTTCTGTGCAAAAATATTTTCAGGGCTTGTCAACTTAGAATAAAATAAGAGATTTTCAGAAGGATTAAATAAGATACAAAGTTGAAAAAGAATACTTAGCTGGTTTTGTAATTCTTAATAGCTCCTCACCTAATGCTATATGCAAAGTTGAGAGTCGATGACATCACTTCCTGTGTGAAATTTTAAAAGATGGCAGCTTACTGGAATTGAGCATCAATTTCTAAATGATCAAATTTGACCATATCAAAACATTTTTGCGTGTTTTGCTAAACATGGCAAGCATATATATGGTTAAAGCTACCATATGAGGAGAGAGATGGTTTGGCAAGGAATATTCCTTTAAGTTAAAGTATGTACAACTAAAAGAAGGTCCAATAGCTTCATTGTGTTTCTTATATGAACAAGTTCAGAATTAAGCAATCTAGACATGTTAGAAGATTAATATAGTAGTACAGTTTTCAGAAAGGTCTCAGTTAGGCTAAAACCTCCTGTTTAAGAACCCTTACTGTTATCAATTAGAATTGAAAATACATATATACCCAGTAACATAATGTAACTGCTAGAGACTCACTTAACCAATGCTTTTCTGAAATAATGAGGAGATAATGAATTGTAGTGTTAGCAAATAGAGGGGTTAAGCAAAAACATTTGAATTGCATTTCGAAAAGGGGAGGGGTCCTTTGTTAAATTGCTTTTATAAAGATAGATCATCACTTTGATCTGACCATAAGGAAGACACTTCGATATCAGTTTTCTCTATATATATATACAATAAGGCTGTTCTGTTTTTGACGAGTCATCCGAGTTTGGAATCACTTGGCTGTCAGTGCCAGTCGGGCAGTATGGGTACTAACATAGGAGTATACAGTAAAACCTGTCTATTTCTAGAGGTGTTCCACTTAATAGGTTTCACTGTATAATTGGAGTTTGTTGGGCTTGGCTGCATTCCTTAATACATGTATGGTTTGCTCAGTTTGCTAAGTAAGTAGGTATCAAGAAACTGTTAGATTAGAGAGGGCTTCCGTGTCTTAAATGATGACAAAATGAAGAAAATTATTATGGATCATCATATTTGTTTGTAATTCCAAGTGTCAAGCAGAATGGGTGTACCTTACTAACATACAGGGTGACCGGAAAAAAAGGAGACCATTGAAGTAATCAATTTCTCCTAAACTAGACAAGTGCCATCAATGAAATTTTGCATACACTGGAACAGTTATATGGAAATTTGTTACTGAAGGTTTCAATACAAGCATTCAACTGGTTCAGGAGCTATGATCATTTACATAACATGCTCCAAATAGGCACAATTGAGACCAACGCAGAGTTGGATTCATATGGCAAACTACCCTTACATGTTCTGCCCTCTATGGCATTATTATGGCATTACATATAGCAGTGATTGCCTTCTTTAGGTCAACAATAGTCTGAGGATTGTTTTGGTATAGATTGTCTTTCAAATATCCATACAAAAAGAAATCAGCAGGATTCAAGTCTAGGCTGTAATACTCCAGTAAAACCGTTGTAAATATTCACAAATAAATGAAAAAATTGCAACAAAATGTAAACCTAGTGTAATCAATAACCATTGGTAAGTAAAATGACATATCAAAAATCTAGAAAAATCTAAGTGGTGGAAAACCTTTAAATCACCATTTATACCCCCTTGGGTAGTTTTATGAAGGGGTACTATGATAAACATTAATAATTTCTGTTATGTAACTGCAATCACAATAAAATTTTCAGCGATCATGCACCTATATATAGTTCAGTTGTCACAGCAAGTTTGATATAACTTGGTCAAATGGTTACCATAGCAACACAACTTAAATGCTCAAAATCTTTAATATTTCAGTAAATTTGAAGCTTCCTATACTAACTGATGTTGCCATTTCTCTTCAAATCATTTAGATATGAACATAAAGTTACCCTTAAAACATATATGGGGAGTGTTTAATAAGATAACATGATTAATTTGATGAATTATATGATATCTTTGACTCTGGACTATATTTTATTAGGTGACCATCACTCTATCCACTCAAAAGTGGGCGTGGCACTTTTTGGTGATAATTTCCTAGAAATGTCATTTTACAGGATCAGCCACAGTTATATTTATAGAGGTCATGGATGCTGATGTAATTCTTTAATGTAATGAGTCTGAACATGATTGGTTGCCATAGTAACAGAGCATAATAAACGCAAATAGTATAGTACATATGTTCTATAAACACTTATAATACCGGATGAGCATGGCATGTGGGATGTTGAATTGGTCGAATAATGTGCATTCATGGCTTAGATTATTTTGTATGCCTTATTTTCATCTAGTATTATTAAATAATTAAAATAATAAACATTATCTATGTGATATTCCATTATACCAAATTACAAGCATTATTTAAATATTGCAATTTAACCAAAAATATCCTTGATGTGATTGCAAATTTAATCTGCATACCTAGGAATAAGTTGATTATGAAAAGATAAATTACATTATGTAATTAGGTTGAGTTATACATGTAATGCTTCAATACACAAAATTGTCAGATGTTATTTGCCTTGCTGATTGAGCTGTGATGAGCTGATAAGCAGTGCTGAAAAGCTGTGCTGGTAGGTGAGCTGAAAAGTTGGTTAGCTGTATTTGGACACAGGTATGATTTTGATTTAATTGTCCAGAACCAAGCTGGATCCCCAAGTCCACATTTAGTGGTGCGGTATCCCCAAGTCCACATTTTGTGGTGTGGTATCCCCAAGTCCACATTTTGTGGTGCGGTTTTCCCAAGTTCACATTTTGTGGTGCGGTATTCCCAAGTCCAAATTTTGTGGTGTGGTATCCCCAAGTCCACATTTTGTGGTGCGATATTCCCAAGTCCACATTTTGTGGTACGGTATTCCCAAGTCCACATTTTGTGGTGCGGTATTCCCAAGTCCACATTTTGTGGTGCGGTATTCCCAAGTCCACATTTTGTTGTGTGTATCCCCAAGTTTACATTTGTGGTGCGGTATCCCAAAGTCCACATTTTGTGGCAAGGTTGTGTAATTGTGTTGATACACAGTCTATTGTATATATAGCTGAAGATTTTTTTTCTTTGTCTTAGTGTTACTATTGTGACATTACACTATACCTCTTTTATTGAGACAATTATATACTTGTATATACTCATGTAAATGGTAGATATATAATAATACTGTACATACAGTCTTGCTTCATTCACAACCATCCATAGCAATTAGCTAAGCTGTAATGTGATAAAATATGAATTACATGTAGTTGAGATAGTTTAGTGTAGTTAAGATAGTTAACATAATTTAGTTAGAGTAGATAAGATATACACGATTAGTTAAGTAGTTAGTTAAGTACTAGTTAAGTAGAAATCATAATCATGGCTGAGATGATGGATGTGGATAATGATGAGTGCATACTTTGTAATGAAACACTCTCTGACAGTACTGTGCCAACTGTTAAACTGGGTGAAAAGGGCATGTCAGGTTTACAAAAGGCAATTAATGCTAGAAATGATAGCTTTACTATAGCAATTGGGCAAGTTGTTCATGTCCATTGTAGAAAAGAGTATACAAATACTAATGTCATATCTGCTTTGTTACGGAAACTAAGTGCACCAACAGAAAGAATGAAGTATGTAGCACAAACTTTAGAACTGGGAGGGATGTCCCCCGAATTTTTGAACAGGGTGGTTCAAAGGTTAAAAATGTGGGAAGGCCACAAGAAGAAGAAAGGGAGAATGCTTTTAAAATGGTAGTAAAATATCTAGAGCAAGCTGAAGATGAGCAAATTTCAATTGAGGACACATTGGAAAAAATGAATGAGTATTTAGAAGGAAATGAGCCTTTCAGTTGCCGTTACATGAAGGACAGACTCAAGGCACATTTTGGAGATAGCATCCTGATAACAAACATACAAAAAAAGAAACATGTGCAAACACAAATAAAATTGATGATATTGATTTAGATACAGTGTAATTGCATTGTCATGGAAAATGAAAAGTTTTCAAGCATTGATAATTTAGTCATGGTATTAATATAAAAGAGTATTGTGTATTTTTGAAGTTCATTTCTCAATATAAAAAGGCAATTTGTATCCTTGCAGAAGCAAACCATGATCTAGACATGTTATTCGAAAAGCTGAAATAGTCTACCCCCCACAATTTATGTCAGAATCATTTTTATGCACTTTCCCATGTTCCATTCATCTACAAAATCATGTTCTATTGGATTGTACTCATCAATAGTACAATAATAAGACAAAAATTCGGCGGATACACTTCAAATGGAAAACTTATTAGGTCGAGCTAATCCTGACCCTAAAATTGAACCTGAAAAATTAACACATTTATGATATTTTCAGCATTTTTTCTGACAAACCTATTAAGCTCAAGTTTTGATATTGACCATGCCTAATCTTTGACATTAGTTCAGCTAGCATGAATTTTTACAAGTCATCATTAAGCCTGATAATAGAGTTATACATAAATATAGTGAAAAATGATCCAAAATATAATACAAGGTAGGGTATAAACATACACAAAAATACATTTTCTGATAATTTTTAATTTTCTGTTGAATAGATTTCTCAATTTTAATATGTCTCTGATGCATATCCAAAAAAAGAACTACAATTTTGAAATGAGAGCCGAATGAGATTTTTTTAAAGATATATCATTGAGGTTTAGGGGGTGATTAAGGGGGGTATCTTCATCCCTTGAATTCTAAGTCTTCCACTGCTTAGATTTTTCTAGATTTTTGATATGTTGTTTCACTTACCAATGGCTATTGATTACACTAGGTTTACATTGTGTTGCAATTTTTTCATTTATTTTTCAAGATTTTACTGGAGTATAATGGCAATGAAGGGTTATCTGACATGTGGTTCATCATCCTGTTGCCAAAGTGCTGATTTACCAAATCTTAAGAGTCACTTTAGGTATTGGGCATAGTGCCATGTTACTAAAACCACTATATGGCACAATTAAATCCCATATGGAAACCAAGGGCTGCCCAAAACCTCCTTAGGATGATACTGTAACTGAGTGGGACCACTGAGTCAGAAGCCATAGGTCAGATAAGCTTCGTCTCCATACACCTCAAATTTGAATCCACCTGATTTCTTTTTGTGGGGCAATTTGAAAGACAATGTGTACCAAAACAATCCTGAGACAATTGCTGACCTAAAGGTGGCAATAAATGCTAAATGTAATGCCATAACAAGGTCGGAATATGTAAGGGTATTTGCCAAATGTATCCAGCTCTGCGTTGGTCTCAATTGCGCCTATTTGGAGCATGTTATGTAAATGATCATAGCTCCTGAACCAGTTGACTGCTTGTATTGACACTTTCAGGAACAAATTTCCATAGAACTGTCCTGATGTATGCAAAATTTCATTGATGTCACTAGTCTATTTTAGGAGATATTGCCTATTTCAATGGTCTCCTTTTTTTCCGGTCACCCTGTATGACTAGATCATTAATAAAATGTTAATGTTTTAATGTCAATGATTTAAGTCAGTTTCATGTTAGAGTGCAGGAACATAAAATGATTTATTCTGTACACTTTTCTATCAATCCTAATGCTCTTATGTAATCAGGGTGTGAATCTCCTCCATACTGATGAGCAATGCTTAGAGCTTCAGAGTAATAAGTCAGTGCCTCTGTATGCTCCTTCATGTGCTCATGTATGATACCTATGTTTCGCAATGATTTGGCAACATCTGGGTGGGGACTGTCTTTGTGTATTAGTCTCCTCATTGTCAGACTTTCTTGATGATATTCAAGTGCTTTAGTCAGATCTCTCATGTCACCATACACATTACCTATGTTGTTAAGTAATGAGGCAACATATGGGTGGGGACTGTCTTTGTATATTAGTCTTTTCATTGTCAGACTTTCTTGATGATATTCAAGTGCTTTAGTCAGATCTCCCATCTTATTACAAACATCACCTATGTTGCCAAGTGATGTAGCAACATCTGGGTGGGGACTGTCTTTGTGTATTAGTCTATCCATTGTCAGACCTTTGTGTTGATATTCAAGTGCTTTAATCAGATCTCCCATGACATAATACACACTACCTATGTTGCCAAGTGAGCTAGCAACATCTGGATGGGGACTGTCTTTGTGTATTAGTCTTAACATTGTCAGACATTCTTGATGATGCTCAAGTGCTTTAGTCAGATCTCCCATGTCTTTATACACATTACCTATGTTGCCAAGTGAGCTAGCAACATCTGGGTGGGGACTGTCTTTGTGTATTAGTCTTAACATTGTCAGACATTCTTGATGATGCTCAAGTGCTTTAGTCAGATCTCTCATGTCATCATACACATTACCTAAATTGTTAAGTGATCTGGAGACTCCACTTTCATCATTGATTTTTCTGCTTATTTTCAGACTGTCATTATGATATAAGAGGGCATCTGAGTAATTCCCCTGTGACTCATACAGTGAACCTATTGCATCCTGTATGGAAGCTATTTCCACCTCATGCTCTCCTGCATCTAGGGATTGAAGAGTTTTTAACTCTGTTTGATAAGCATGCATTGCCCTCTTGAAGAAAAAAATGTTCTCATATAATTGCGCTTTCACTTCATTGTTTCCTTCAAGATATCTCTCTCTATATGACCAGGTACCACTTACATTCAAGTTTGATTTGAGGAATTCACACCAGGGCATGAATGTGTTAAAAAATCGTAGAATGGCTGTAAAACTTCTGACTGGCATCACTTCTGTTGTTTCATCATCTTGAGAGTCCCTTGGTAAGAATGATATGAATTCCTTTTGTTGCTTATACCTTCCATAGACCATGTGTCTAAGGTTTATTACACTACAAACCATGATTTGTAGATCTTTTGCTGCCCCTTCAGTTAGAATACTTTTCCCTATCAATTCCTGTAACACATCAAGAGGAGCAAATGATGTGCAACCATGCATGAGTTTCAGAATATTTATAGTGATTGTAGCAAATCTATATATATCATGCTTTGTATGCATTTTCTGAGTGAATGATTTTGATGACAAGGGGTTTTTACTGTATTTTTCTAAGTCTTTCTCCAGTGTCTTTACTGCTCGTTCTCTTCCTATAGTGATGTCTGGATTAGTTTTAGATGGTGATGATAATATGGAATGTACTTTTTCATTGTATTCCTTCCATAAGGCAAATTCTCCAGTTATTAGTGTTGATGTCATGAGAACATCACTTAGGTGGTAACCCTCTTTTATTGATTCATCTGTAAACTGAAACTTGCTTATCTCATCCACAGTCATGATAAGTTCAAGTCTGGGGGGTTTATTGGAATCTTCTCCTGTTTTTCTACCAATAGCTGTTTTGCTAGCCCAAGGTTGTGTCCCATCAAAGGAAATTCCCCGAGTAGTTGCTTTGTCATAAAAGTCATTGTCTTTCATGTCAGGGGGTAGGTGTTTGTTATAATCTGTCAGAACAGGTATGTCTAAGCAGTTTAACAATGTTTCCCCAAGATTAAGCACCTTCAAATGCATGTAATAGGCTATCATACGCAATTGTGTTTTGATTTGATCGGCTGGTTTATCTAAGGGATCAAACAGTATTGCCCACTCAATATCTGAATAAGCAGTGACCTCTTTTCGGGATAGGGAACCCAGTGCTAAGAATGCAAACTTACAATCAGAGTGTCCTAGAACAGAAATACAATCATTGATAATAGACTTATAAAAATCTAAAAGCTGTTGTGTTAGTCCATTATAAAACACCTTGCTGTATTTTATTGTGTTGTCTTCATCTTCTTCTTTCATCTCTGTGGTGACATCATCAACTACCATGTACTTTTCAATGATGTCATTTACGGTGATGTTTGAGAACTCTCGTATATTTTCAAGTGTGTCTGTATACTTCTGTGTTGCAGCTTCTGTAGATAGTTCGCTATGATTTGTAGCTCGGCACTTCTTCACAAAGTTACTTTCTATAAGCTGGAGTTGTTTGTCAGTGTGTTCCAAGTCATTTTCAAGAGCTGTGTTTGTGTCATCAGTTTGTTTTTTAATCAATTTCTTAATTCGACACTTAGCTGCATTGTATAATTCACAGGACCAAACGTAGT